TAGTCATCCGACTCCTATATATGAAGACAATACTGCATGCATTGCTCAAGTGAAAGGAGGTTACATCAAAGGAGACCGAACAAAGCATATATCACCAAAGTTCTTCTCAACACATGATCTCGAGAAAGATGGAAAGGTTGACATCAAGCAAATCAAGTCCAGTGAGAACCTTGCTGATTTATTTACAAAAGCATTACCCCCAAAGAAATTTGAAGAACTCGTACACAAGATTGGCATGCGTCGCCTCCGTCAATTATGCTAAGCTGAGGGGGAGAACTTTATGAACTGTACTCTTTTTCCCTTGATCAGGTTTTTATCCCACTGGATTTTTTCTGACAAGGTTTTTAACGAGGCAGTACATAAAATTAGAATGGGTTCCTAAACTATACCCATTTCACGAAGTACCCATCATTAATTGAAAAATGAACATTCAAGGGGGAGTGTTATGAAAATAATGATTGTTCATTTATTCAATTAATCAGGCCTATTTTCTAGAATAGTAGATTAAGACAACCATTGATGAGTATCAATTATGTACAGTACTTCCCACTTGTATTTGTATTCATACCAAGCCTCTCCACTATAAATAGAGGCTTAATCCCTGCATTGTAATCACAATTAAGAATAAGAAGAAGAGTGAGAAGTTAATAGAGAGAAGAAATCAGAAATATATTATATCTATTCTCATAATATCTGAATAGTTTTTCTCTCATTTTATAACAGTTTCTAAGTTTTTTAAATGCACAAGTCATTTGATTACATGTTTACGTGTGCCTATTAATAAAAAAATTAAGTTTTACATACTTACGTACTTATTCTTAGTCATTTTTTCCGTTCTTTACTGAATAAATTACAAAAATATCCTTAATCTTTTATGAATATCCTTAAAAGACATATCTCTCATTTAATTCACTTTACAAAAAAACTTCAAGAATCAATATTAGGGAGGATACCGCATTATAAATCTAAAAATAAAGTAATCGGTATATGAATTCTTAAGTTGAACTAAGTAATCGATCGAATTCGTTTTTTATATGATTCAACTTTAGGTTCTTATGACACAGTCTTGTGATCTTTATCCCATACTAAGTTCTGTCATAGTATCAAAGTAGGCTTTGCTCCACCTCGTTTGTCAAGGTGTCTGTCTAGACGTTCATTCCTATCGGTCTTAGTCTTCAGCCTAGTTGTCGTATGAAAACGGTCAGCGACCCATTTAACTTAATTGTTCGTCTCAAAGTCCATACTCAGTGACTCATGGTCATATAGGTGTTGTCGGTGCATTTTCAAATATTGGTTTCAGTGAGAACATAGTCGAATTGCAAGCGGTCGACAGGTTAAATGAATAAATGGTTCGATTATTCTCTTGAGGATGAGTGTTAGAGTGTATCCTACATCAGAAATCCAAAAATAAAATAATAAGTTTATAGGTTTTTTAGTTGAACTAAGTACTCCGTAATTGATTAGATTCAATCTTTAAAAGTTATTCTATGTATGGTGTACACAAAAAGCTATCACGTTAGACAAAGTTCTCACATTTTTACTATCAGAAATCAACTTCGAGACCTCATACTTAACAACTCTTTTCCAGTACAATCTAAATTGCCCGTGCAGACATTAAGAGGTGTTCATGAACTTCTACTAGCTTCTCCATCTATTAAAAACCAAAATCACAGACTTCTAAATATTTCAAGTTGTTTTCATTCAAATTAAAAAAAATTAAAATAACTTTAGAATCATTGTCAAAGACCATAGACTTAAATTAATGACAAATTTTCTGCGATCCTTAGATGCATGTTTATTTTATGGACCTTCATATATAAAATAATTTTATGCATTAGGTCTTTTAAAAATAAGAAGATATAACTATTAATCCATGAAAAATATAAGAGAATGTCCATATTTCAAATGTGACCTTATGATCACAATAACAAAACTCCAAAGTACTCTCTAATATAGTGCGGAATAGTGGATTTGAAAGGAACCAAAAGTTGTGTTATAAAAAAGGATTAACCGGAAGTTGTGTTGTAAAGGTGGAACGCCCACCCCGGTGCCCCCACACCCCGACTCGACAGGGACTGTGAGGGGGAGGGGGCGGGGGAGGTAAAAACCGTAAAATCATGATATAATCTTAGTTTAGTTTTTAGAGAGTCCGCCCCGTGCCGTGCCATAAAGAGCTATTACAAAGAGTAAAAGTCTACACTGCTGCTGTCGGGATTCGGCCCAGATGAGCAATTCTTGTAAAATTGGTAGGTGAGCGACTGTTTCCCAGTCAAATAATCATTGACGGGTCATTGTTTAACTTTTGTTCTCTAATTTCGTGGCACCCACAAATAACCATTGGCTATGGTGACTGGTGAGGGAGTCTCCGAGTCTTGACAGCGCAAATTGGTGAAAAAGGTAAGAGTGTAGGGACGTGGGACTATGGCTGTCCCAATTTATAACTTAAAGTTGTACACCAAAAATAAATACAAATGTAAAAAATGTCTGAATTTATTTTTGATATATAATTTTGGGCACAAATTGGTGTATCTCAACTTCTTTGAAGAGTGTAAGATAGGGGATTTTGATAACTACAAAAGAGAATGGTCGTGTTTGTTGGGAGTATTATCCCTCACCGGAAAAAAGATTTAAAAGAATGTGTGTGTATAGGTTTCGTGGTCTCTTCTATGATCGTGTTAGAATATAAATAACTCATATTGGGCCACAACCACAAGCTTGAGCTTTTGGTTGAATTGGTTTCTTGACATGGTATCAGAGCCTTCAAGCATAATGGTACAAAAATAGCCGATGATACAAAAATCACCAACTCTCACAATGAGAGGAAAGCATGACAAAGGAGAAGAAAGAAACAAATGACAAAAATATCTGAAGATTCTTATTTGATCGTTGGTGTCACTACTACACCATATCTAGAGGAAGTAAAAGAGGGCTAACTAATAACTAAACAAATCCAACAACCATAACAAACTGAAAATGGAAGATATTTGAGAAAATAATTAAGAAATCTACTCTACAACCTTCCATGTTAAAAAGGCTTCGACATTTCCCTTGCTTGTCCTCACTTGCGTCTTGTTTGCATAAATAAGCTCACTTGAAGAATTAATTTGGTTTTGTGAAACAAGCCAACCACAATCACAAAATTTCTATTATTCCCTCCGTCCCGCTATATTCGTCCACTTTTGACTTTTGGAACTGTTCATCTAAGCACTTTGACTCATCAAATTCTCTCAATGTGTAAGCCTAAATATAGTCATGCGTGGTCTTGTTTGATTTGTCTTAACATATAGATTATTAATATATAATTTCTATAATTTTTTAATATACAAATTACAAGATAAAATGGATTAAAGAAGTGTATTGGATGGTGTGCAAAAATGAAAGTGGACAAATATAGTGGGACGGAGGAAGTAATTAGTATGTAGAGACTCCTAGCACAACTAGAAATATAGAATGAAAATTCACTAAAATACTGTTAAAGAGTATCCCACATCGGAACTTGAAGAGAAAATAAACCGGTATATAAGCCCTTGAGTTGAACTAACTAATCAATTGGATTCAATCTTTTAATGTGGTTCAACCCAAGTGTCTTATTGCCCAATCCAATTGTCCATACCCCATCCTAAATTCTATCAAATACTACATCTACCATAAATATGAATAAAAAACTGACTAATAATCAAATACTACCTTGACCATACTACCATAAGTAATACTATTATTATTGTCTAATATGTCCTCTCAAGCTGAACTTTGGCTGAAGCAAGAGGAAGCTTGGACTGAAAACTTTGAGAAGACAGAAGTCTGACGTGCGCCAGTGGCTGCTGACATCGTTGGAGAAGAGAGAAGTCTGACTACTTGAAAGACTACTTATAAACTTTTGAAACTTGAAGGGCCAATCGTGCACCACTCATAAAGTTGAAGGACTATTTATAGACTTTTGAAATTTGAACAATCGTGCACAACTCATAAAGTTGAAGACGAATGGTGGATTTTAGCTCAAGATTTACCTCCACTAAAATTGTCTGGATGAGGTCTTAGAGATTTAAAATTAGTCCCATGCAAGCTGGAAAACCTAATGTATGAAAAACCCTACCCAATGAGATGGGATAAATGGACTCACAAAGTAATTCGATTATAACATACTCCCTCCGTCCCCTTGTATTTGTCCACATTTGATTTTTAGAACTGTTCATCTAAGCACTTTGACTCATCAAATTCTCTCAATGTGTAAGCCTAAATATAGTCATGTGTGATCTTGTTTGATTTGTCTTAACATATAGATTATTAATATATAATTTTTATAATTTTTTAATATACAAATTACAAGATAAAATGGATTAAAGAAGTGTATTGGATGGTGTGTAAAAATGAAAGTGGACAAATACAGGGGGACGGAGGGAGTAATTTACTATGGAGAAGAAGATCGACTATGATATAGTATCAAAGAATTACGGAGTAGTAATTAATTAATCAATATAAACTCTAAGTTTATAATTATATACACTCACTGCACAAAAAGTTATATGAAGTACGGAGTATATTCTAACAAAAACGAATCCATATTAGGAAATTACAAAAAGTAATTTTCTTAATGAAGAATTTACTTAAATAACACTAAAGCATAATGACTTTCTCTAAATAGTATCACATGTGTTTTTCTCAATGTAGCACTTTTAGTCATTATGCATTAGTCATTATTCAAACAAATGTTCGCCATCATTGGACGTTATGAACATTATTAAGTGCTATTTAGAGAATAAAACAATTTAAATGCTATTTAGGAAAATGACTTAAATTTTAGTGCTACTCCGTATTTAGTACGGAGTACAATTATTTCTTTCTTAATTCACATTTGTACGTATTTATACATGTAATCCATCATAAAGGAAAACGGTAATCAACCTTTAAGATATAAAATAAAAAAATATATCTTCATTAATACATTGTCTCATAATCGATCATGTTACCCTTGTGTAGCATGACTACTCAGTGTACACCCAACAAAGAAGAACGTACCTTAGCTTGTTGTTTTTAATTTGTCGTCCCCATATAATCCTAGCTAGCTGGCTACACCATTATATTATATTCCTCATCACATTTATTTTTTATTATATGGTAATAATTAATTCAATCATACGTCGTTGAAGTTATTGTGACTTGTCTCGAGACTCTAACGTGTCGAAAATGTGCATTTCTTTGTCCCCCGAGTCCAAAATAGGCATATCCAAATCCAATCCGAAATCCGGCAACCCAAACCCTTGACAGTTCAACAACCAATCCATGCAATCGTCGTCCAATGGCGGAATAATAAGCTGATCATCGTCAAAGATGAGCGACTGTTGGTCAACGCCAGTCGATTGTGGGAGGTCCCGGTCCCACGGTGCATGCACCGGGGGTGCATGGCTTTCGAGTAGGGAGCTGAGCAGGGGATCCTCCCCATCGCCTGTGGTATCTATGATCACTAGCTGGGATTCGTTTGCGTAGGTTATGGACGAGGAACAATTCTCATGCGGCGAGCATGAAGAAGAGCTTTGCTCTTCTGAGGTGACTGTCGTGGGAGTTGTACCTTGAGGTACAACTTTCACTGGTTGCTCCTCACCGTATTCTTTGTCAAACTTTGACCGGGAAGTGGTCTCATTTTTAGTTGTTGTCGATGATTGTACGTCACTCGTTGTCTTCGCGTCCTTGTTGAGAGGCTCGTGCGTGACCGGATCGATTCCCATCTTAAGAAGCTTTTTCTTGATATGTGTGTTCCAATGATTCTTGATCTCGTTATCTGTCCTTCCTGGCAATCTTGAAGCAATCTTTGACCATCTGATAAAAAAATGAAAAACATCTTAGCTTTATTGAAAATAAAAAGTTTTACCTCTAGCAAGACTAATATAATGCAGAGTATATAAGAATACGAATAACTCTTGACTTTAAGAAGTCGTGAAATTTGCAGTGAATAGGACTAAAACATAAGTCATTTCCCGATGTAGGACTTAAACTTTTTTATTCCCTAAATAGGACTTAATAATGACCAGTGAGAAGAATAATGTCTAAGTGATGCTGGACATTTAGTTGTGTTAGAGTATATAACAATCATTTCTGGGCCACAACCATAAGCTTGAGCTTGTGGTTGAGTTGGTTCCTTGATATGGTATCAGAGCCTTGATGACGAAGAGGTCACGAGTTCAAAACTCACCGCCACCCAGTTTAAAAAAATTAAGATTTCACGTGCAAGGCTCAAAGAGGTCACGCCTGCACGTGAGGGGGCGTGTTTGAGTATATAACAATCATTCTTGGGCCACAACCATAAGCTTGAGCTTGTGGTTGAGTTGGTTTCTTGATAAGTTGAATAATGACTAATAGATAATGACCAATAGTCCTACATTGGGAAATAAAAACATATGGTCCTATATTGAGAAAGTTATTATGTTTTAGTCATATTTAGGTAAATTACCCTTTAGTTAGTTGAAATCTCATTGTTCTACATAGTATCAGCCTTACAGAAACGTTTCTTGGTGAGAATCTCATTAATCGATTTGGTCATTTTTGTAGTAATGCTTGGTGAGAATCTCATAACTCACAGAAACGTTTCTAATAACTTGTTACAATAGTACTTAGCTTCTTCTATTTTGGAGAATTATTCGTCTAGTTTGATTTTTTAAAATCAAACTCGGTAACTTTATCATTGATTATATAAAAGTTATACATCATATTTATACATTGAAATAATATTTTATAATTTATCTACAAAATAAATCTAAATAAATTGTTTTTATATGAATATTTAAAGTAATTTTTATTTAATTAATAATTAAAGCTTTACTACTATGATTGAATAAAATCTAAAGAAATCACCCAAAAAAACCCTTAACTTATTCCAAAATAAAAGTTATTGGCATTATATAGATCCTATTTTAGTGATTTAAACATAAAATTCCTATTTTGTTTTCCTTACTATTCTGATCCCTCCATCCCGAAATATTTGTCTACTTTTGACTTTTTTCAGTCAAAATTAGTAAACTTTGATCTCAAATTAAATAAAAATGATATTAGATATTGACAACTAAAAATAGTTGACCGAAAAAAGTCAAAACTGGACAAATAATCAGAGACGGAGTATATTTTAGTCCATTTCCCTAAATTCAAACTTAAGAAAATGAGATAGAGGCTAGCTAGGTAATACATGCTTCATGTTGAAGAGCCGAAAGCCAAAGTTAGGCGTTGAAAATGATAATGATCAATATGGTAGGTCACCAACACTTAAAGGATTGAAGCATGAAGATAGCGAAAGACACAAGTATTTAAAAGTTTTTTTGAATGCTATTGCGTCTATTATGAGGTAAGGTAATATTTATTCATATTATTCTCAACTTAATTGTTAGAGTCTATCCCACATCGGAAAATTGAATAGAAAAGTTATCGGTATATAAGGTCTTGAGTTGAACTAAGTAATCGATTGGATTCAATCTTTTAATGTGGTTCAACCCAAGTGTCTTATTGCTCAATCCAGTTGTCTCTACCCAATCCTAATTATAAATTATATCATGGTATCAGAACCAGTTTTAGCCCACCTCGTTTGTCAAGGTGTCCGTCTAGACGTTCATTCCTAGCGGCCCGTTAGTCTTTAGCCCAGTTGTCCGTATGAAGTATGTACCCAACGGCCTGTGGCCTGTTTAACACGATTACTTGTCTGGAAGTCCATACTCAGCGACTCGTGGTCCTTTAGGTGTTGGCGCTCATTAAAAAAAAAGTCAAGGGATGGGAGTCCATTTGCAAGTGGTCAACCGGTTAGATTCAAAATGGCCCGGTTGTCCACTTGAGAGGGAGTGTTAGAGTCTATCCCACATCGGAAAATTGAATAGAAAAGTTATCGGTATATAAGGTCTTGAGTTGAACTAAGTAATCGATTGGATTCAATCTTTTAATGTGGTTCAACCCAAGTGTCTTATTGCCCAATCCGGTTGTCTCTACCCAATCCTAATTATAAATTCTATCATTAATGACTAACAAAGAGCCATTGCTTCCGCTTCTGCTAAGACTCGGACCTGGGTGAACTTCCCTAAATCTTGGTGAGTGAGCTTACTACCACTCAAACTAGGAGAGAAGTTCCATGTATTGAAACATTAATATTCAATCAACTATAATTATTAGAGTTTTAACAATTCTTTAGTCTTTTTTTGTTTTTTTTAAATTTTCTTTTTAGATAGATGTAAATCTCTAGGAAATTTAAAGTTAAATACTTCCTCCGTCCCAACTTAATCTCCCTATTTACTATTCATAGGATCTATCGATTAACTCTAATTTTTTTTTCTATTTTCATCTATCATTCGGTAAAAGAAAAAAACCTTAATTGTCACGAGTTGTTTTGCAGAACTTTGATGTATACGTAGTAGTCTCTTTATATGCTACTCCCTCCGTCCTAAACAACTTTATTTTTTTCTTTTTTCATTCGTTCCAACAAACATTTCTTATTTCTTTTAAAAAGTCACTTTTACCCCTATTAATTCTTAACCTACCTATCAAATCACATTTTTTCACTATTAATCTACACATCACATCTACTTTTACCAATCACATCCAACGGTATTTTTGGAAAGTCAACACCAAAATACACTCTCTTTAAATCCTTTAAAATTCAAAACCAGAATGGTTTTGTGGCACGGAGAGAGTATAATTTTATTTTTAGTTCTACACGCACTAATTTTCATTTATATTAATTTGAAAATAATTTCAATCAACAATCGTAAACCGTAATATGAAGATTAATTTGGGAGGAAGGTAATATATGAAAAGTACTGAAAGGGTGTTATTGTCCATCCATGTTCGAAATTACAAAAAAATAAGTATATTTCTACAAGCGTGTTTGTTATACATAATGTTGTTTAAATATACATATTTAGAGATGGAGGGAGCATCGGTGTATTAATCAAAACGATGAGGGAGAATGAAGAAAGTTTGAAAGCAGGAGAAGTAATTATTACCAAATTATAGAAGTACCAATGCAATAAAATAAAGTAAATAATGTGGTTGACATTTATATAGAAAAAAGAAAAATATTATAAACCATACAATATAATCCATTCAATTCTTTCAAAGTCCTTGATTATATTTCACGTAATTAAATATATATTGGTCAATTGAAAAGATGAAAATGATCATCTTCCTAAAGGGATTTGAAGTTTAGATAGGTTCAAAGAAAAGACAATTCATAAATACGTATTGGCTAGATGTCCCTTTTTAATACCAGATTTGAGTCGTTTGGAAGAGCAGCAAGTTACATACAATTATGCAACCTATGAAAAATACCTGCACAAATATATACTTAAATAATTAAATTTATAAGTCACGCATTGCTGATTTAAAACTTTTTTAATTATCAAAATTTTAACAGTTAGTCATTTTTTTTTTTGGATAAAAATGTCCCAATTTTTTAAACAATTATCTAAATACACTGTCATCAGTAGCATACATCGACAATATAACAATGGTCGATATAAACTGAACTTCGATCGCTTTCTCACAGTGACACAAAATTTTGATAAGTCATTTGCGATTGTATGTCTCCAACGCGCTCAAAGCCACCACTAATATTTCACCAAACTCAATTTGGAGTACCCAAATTAAACAATAAATAATTACATTTGAATGATAATTTCAAAAGTTTCAAATAATGTGCATTGAGATGATCTTTAAAAGATAAGTTTAATTAGAATTCAAAATCTTTCATTGATATAGGAAGTAATTTGGACGTTGGGTCCTCCTCAATTTAGACATGCAAAAATAATGTCCCAAATGAAGGATTGTTGACGTGGTTTGTCCTAAAGAAAACATAGGATTTGATATATTGATGAATAGGACACGTGATGAATTACATGTCTATCTTCTCTAATAGATTTTTTTCTTCTATTTGAATTTTTTTGACCGCTAATAACTCTGTTTTAATATAATGTAGTATATATATTCATATATTTTCAACTCATTAAGAATGTAGAGTTTTTATCCTCACTCGCACCTCCCACGGTCTTTAATTTGGCTATGTGCTTGATGATTGACTTTGGTTTTAATCATTTGTCCAAACTCTCATTCATGTATGATAATTCATTAACATAAACGTGTGGTCTCTTTCTTATAAAAAAACGAAAAAAAATACTACTCCCTCCGTCCGGAAATGTTCTTCCTATTTGACTTTTCACGGTCTCCAATATTGCGCTTTGACCATTAATATCTATATTTATACATAGATATATATTTTATAAAAATTTGATATTTGAAAACTACATTTCATTTTGAATATATTGATAAATTTATATTATTATACAATGTGTTTTTTCTACAAATCGTAGTCAAAGTTTATAAACTTTGACCATGAAAAGTCAAATGTGAAAAACATTTTCGGACGAAGGGAGTACGTAGTAGAAGAATCATTTTGTTTGACCAAAAAATATTAGAATCAATAATATTTAGACAATGCATATATACTCCATTCAGTAAGTATAATATATACGAAGTATAAAAAATTAAAAATTTTGGACAACAAAAAAATGGGCCGGGGCAGGTAGGGTTACTTAGCTTGGCCCTCACCTGGACCGGCCCTAATAATCTCTTTGAAGAAGCATGTGATGAAAGTTGAAGTTGCGAGAAGTGCATTGCTCTAAAATCAAGTATAGACCTCATTTGGGAAGAATATTTTCAATTACATATACTTTTTAAGAAAGTATATGTCACGTACAAAGTATAATATATACGAAGTATAAAACAAAGAAAATTGGACCACGAAAAACTGGACCGGCACAGGTAGGATTACTTAACTAGGCCCTCCCTTGGACCGGCCCCGAATATTACTATCTTTAAAGAGGCATGTGATGAAATTAAAGTTGAAATCGCCAAACGTGCATTGTTCTAAAATAAATTATAGGCCTCATTTGGAAAGAATATTTTCAATTAACGTCAGAGGCTTAGAATTAATTCGAGGCAAATCGGAAAATCAAAAGCTTATATAAAAAATGAAATTTTCACTTAATAAGCTAATAATAAGCTAGCTAAGAATATAAAATGAGTAGTACGTCAAAATATATTATCACTAACCTATTACCAAGATGAGCATGGAGGTCAATGACCAATTTCTCCTCCGCTTCGCTTAGAAGGCCTCTCTTCAAGTCCGGCCGGAGGTAGTTTGTCCACCGGAGGCGGCAGCTCTTGCCGCAGCGGCGGAGGCCGGCGAGCTTCGGGACGGCCCGCCAGCAACATTGGCCATTGGTGAGGAGGAAGGCGATGAGCTTGCCGTCTTCCTCCGCCGTCCACGGCCCCTTCTTCACTCCAAGTTTATCGCAACAAGGTTGCCTTCCCATAATAATAGTAATAATAATAATAATTTACCCCACCACTTGCTCTTTATTCAATATATAATAATTTCCCTGGCTTTTGGTCTTATTTATTTACTACCACAAGAGAAATTAACTTTATAGTTTGATATGCTAAAAATATATATTCTCCAAGTCCCTTACTACTACACCCACCTTTATATACCAAACCTCACCTACCTTTTGTTCTCACTTGATATTTTTTTTTTGTACAAAAAATAAAATAAAATATGATGATGATATACGGGCACACCATCCGGGACGTACGCATCTTGCCACACTCGAGAGGGACTCATCACACATGAGAGAGGGTGTGACTATAGACTATATAGTGGCGGATCCAGAAACAATTTTCGCTCAAATATAATTATTTCTTGTTGCAGAAAGTCTAGCTATTTCGAATCAATTTGTTAAAATTTGATGAAATAATTTTATCCAAACAAATTTTAAATTTTTGTACGTCCAGAAATATAACATTATGAATGCATTATATTTCTATTGGAGGGTCGGTGTTGGTTTGTGCAACGAAAGAGGTCGGTACTTGATAGGACTACGAGTCGTGAAAAAATTACTTTCGGATCAAAGTTATTTCGGATAAAACCGGATAAGAATTGAAGTAACCATTAAAGGACTATAGTCACTTTGACTTATTCTAGGCATAGCTATTTACAGGCAAAACATTGATCGAACATATTTTTTGAACTCAAAAATCATGTCTGTTCAGTACATATTCAATTAGCATACTTCCTATTCGAATAGCTAGGAGACCGTTTTTGAGAGATCAGACGCATCTCTTCGGTGACCTATTTGAATAGGTCAGCACCTATTCAATTAGGTCAGCACCTATTCAATTAGGTCAGCATATCAAATCATGACCTATTGCATTAGACAAACACCTATTCCATTATGTTTGCATATAAGCTTCTGACCTATTCCAATAGGTAAAGACTTTTTCAAAAGGTCCTCACAGTTCACACTAACCTATTTGAATAGATCAGCTACTTTGTTCTAAATAATAATATGATTGAACGAGCGTGTATTCCAGACCTTCTATACTTGTTTCAATAGTTGTCCTTATTTAATGTCCGGTCACTAAAATCACCAACAATTTCAAGATTATGTTTTCTCTTTTCTTTTCTTCATTTCCATTTTCTATTTTTTCTATTCTACCTACTATTTCATTTCTATTTCTATTCCTCATTTTCCTTTTTTGTCCAAATCTAAAGTGCATTACAAGGGCCTCTACAAGCATGGACTAAACATCCTCTCTTCCAAGCCACCATTAGTTGTATGTCATGCTGTTAAACGTCTACCTTGCATCGTAGACTCGGTCATCCGTCTCCTGCGATTGCCAAATATATCATGTCTTTCTTAGGTTTTAAATTCTCCGAACTATTACATTGTGAATCATGTTCTATCTCCAGGTCTAATTGTTTACCCTCTGAGTTGTTTGAACACAAGGCCAATGCGGCATTTAGTTTACTACATTGTGATCTTTGGGGTCCAACCTTTGTTACTTCCATAAGTAGTTTTCGGTATTACATCTCATTCTTTGACGGTTTTAGCAAATTCGCATGGCTTTGTCCACTAAAACATAAATCAGAAGCTTACTCTATTTTTATAAGTTTTCAAAAAATGATTAAAACTCAATTAAACTCTAATATTCATATTTCTTGAAGTGGCAACGGGAAAAAATTTGTGAATACTAGCTACCTTTGGCCTTTTATCCAATATTTAGGCATTCTCCATCACACGATGTATTCCTACAACCCTTAGCAAAACGTAAACATCGACATTTCATTGAGATGGTCAATTCGCTTCTCTACTACTAAGGGTGAGCAAGCACCAAACTGATACCAAAAATTTCCAAAAAAAAATCAAGAAAACCGAACCGAAAAATATCAAAGTGAAAAGATACCGCTAAAATACTGAATCGTACCGAACTGAATGTTCGGTTCGATGTTTGAGAACGGTACAAGGTAATTTCTGATACCGAAAATCCCGAACCGAATATATATACTAATATGTTATAAATATAATAATCTCTTTAAATTTTACAATATATAATAAGTTTATTTTTCAAATTGGTTCGATTTTTATTATTTGCACATTGCACTCTTATTTGAATTTCAATTTTTTGTAGTTAAATTTAAAGATATTAACACACTTTTAAAATATCATTTTATCATCATTCATTAACTTTAGTTTGTGAAATATAAACCAAGTTTCATAAGCATTTCTTAAATTTAAATTTTAACTTTTTAGTTTTTTTGTGTTTATCTAAATATAGTTTCGATTTTCTGAAGGTTTTGTGACATTTTAAAGTTTAAATTAAGTGTGTATGTATTAATCTCGGTTTGTACCGAAACTGATACCGAACCGTCCCAAAATATACCGAACCAAAATTTCAGGATCAGCTAGTATCGGTACGATGCAAAATCGCATACCGAACAAAAATATTTGGTACGATATTGGTGCGAGCTAAATACCTTACCATACAGTACCATGCTCACCCCTAACTACGACTATAGTCTGCCCACTTTCTTCTAGGTTGATGCTCTTGTAATTACTAACTATCTTATTAATCATATTCCAACTAAGAATTTTTCATGAAAATCACCTTTTGAGGTCCTTTAAAATCATACTCTTGAGTATACTCATTTGCGTCCCTTTGGCTATCTTGTCTACACATGACTTCGGCCTCACATGCACTCAACACAAATTCCAGCCTCGTTCCACACCGTATGTCTTCCTTGGGTATTATCTCACCATCAGAGGATATAAATGAAGATTCCGTGTCTCAAAAGAACTATGTCTCTCGTCATGTTAAGTGCATCGAGGACCAGTTTCCATATTCTAGGCTCTCATCCATTTCGTCATCTTCCCATATCTCACCCATTTTTCCAACCCGTCCAAGCTCACATGCTCAAGTACCACTAACACAAACTATGCCCCGGATGGTCCAATACATTGACCGTTTTCCAAATTACGGTCGAACATCCCGACAACCCCTCACAAAACCCCTAGAGACGGTTTATCCCCTTGATAGTACCCCTGGTCACGGTTAGAGCGTTCATCACTACTTCCTTTGAATCTCTACAGGCGGTGCACCGTGAGACTCCCCCACACTCCCAGTTGACCATCCAACTTCCAGCCATCTAAATCCTTCTCAACTCATAACTTATCAGCAAATACCACCACTAACACACAACCTATGCAAACCCGTGCCAAACTAGACATATTCAAACCCAAAACATATTCCACCATCATACTTGATAATACAACTCATACTACCGAGCCTAACACCTATAACCAAGCCTTCAAGAATAATTTTTGGTGTCAGGATGTAGATGATAAATTTATAGCTGTGAATGAACAGCGTACTTTGGATTTGGTACCACCACCAAAAATTGGACTCAATCTGATTGGTTGTAAGTGGGTATATTGCATTAAACGGAACGTGAATGGATCTATTTCATGGTACAAGGCTCGTCTTGTGCCAAAAGGTTATCATCAAGAATATGACATTGATTACAAGGAAATCTGTAGCCCTATTGTCAAACAACAAATGGTACGCTTTGTTATCTCCTTGGCTCTTCATCATGGTTGGCCACTTCATCAACTGGATGTTTAATTTGTATTACTTTTCTACATGTCATTGTGGACAAAAAAATCGTTATGAATAACCGCTAGATTAAATTAATCCATAATGAACACATTATGTTTGCAAGTTGTAGAAGTCCTTGTATGGCCTCAAACAGGCCCCACGTGTATGGTACACACGCCCATCTTCTTTTTTGTAGGGTCTTGGTTTTTGTTGTTGTACTCATGATATTAGTTTGTTCACTTTTCATTTCTCTCAAGAAAAGTCATCATCTGTGTGTATGTTGATGATATTGTCATTACGGGAAGTTTTCTGACCTTGATTTCTGACATTGCTCAAGCTATGCATCGTGAATTGTGATTGAAAGAACTAAGTCCTTTACATTATTTCCTTGGCATTGACGTGAAGCATACCAAGTATTTCAATCTCCTCCATCAAATAAAGTACGCCCTTAATCTTTTATGCCGGGTAGGTATATCAGAATGCAATCCTACTGTTACCCTTATGGCGTGCAGTTGACTTACGGTCACGTCATGTGCACCGCTCAGGGATTCTACTCACTTCCATAACATTGTTGGTGGCTTACATTATCTGGTTGTCACTCGTCCATATATCCAGTATGCTGTCAATCGGGGGTCTCAGACCATGCACAACCTAATTGACCCACATTGTCATGCTTTGCAGCGCATTCTGCGATACTTAAGGGGAACCCTACACCTTGGTCTTTTTTTTTGAACGGGGGCTTGAGCTATCTGTTTACACTGATTCATATTGGGCTAATGACAAAGATGATCAAAAGTCTACAATTGGACACATGCTCATGCTTGGCTCAAATCTCATATCATGGTGTACGAAAAATTGACCCGTGTTTCTGAAGATTGTGATATGGCTGCGGGTGTGGCAGAAACCATGTGGCTATATTATATTACTAATGCTCCAGGCATCTCTCTGTCAAAACCTTGTTTCTATTGTGATAATGTATCCACTATCTTTGTGACCAAGAATTTAGTTTTGCATGAACGTATGAAGCATGGTTGGTTTAGGTGTCATTTTGTCCATGATCAAGTCCTTGTCTCTATTGTCATAATGAACACTCTCTCTGTGACCAAGAATCTAGTTTTCCATGACTGTAGGAAGCATGGTTGGTTAAGACTGTCATTTTGTCCAAGATGAAGTCATCGCAAGCACGATGACCACACATCATAATCCATCCCTTGAGCAGTTAGCAGATATTTTCACAAAATTGCTTCCACCACCTCCGTTCGAGTACTTATCCTTCAAGCTATCCCTCGTCTCTGTTGATCAGCTTGTGAGGGGGTAATAGAAAATAAATATTATTATTGATTCCCTTTCTTATTCTATTATTTCTTTATCATATTGTTACCATAAATTTTATTCTAGTAGGATTAAGATTCCTTCTTGTAATCCCTATATATATATATATATATATATATATATATATATA